CCCCCACACCGCCTGGTCAACCATGCTATCCTGCTGATCAAAGGAGCCCAACCCGTCTGTCAGAAGCCTTATCGGCATCCTCACTTCATGAAGGGAGAAATTGAGAAGGTTATCAAGGAACTCCTGACCAAAGGTATGATCCGACCCAGTCACAGCCTATTTGCTTCCCCAGTTCTGTTAATCAAGAAGGACGGGGGATGAAGGTTATGTATATACCGAAAAATCAATGACCTTATGGTCAAGGATAAATACCCCATGCCTATCATAGATGATCTGTTAGATGAATGATATGGAGCCACCATTTTCTCGAAACTGGACCTTAGGTCTGACTACCACCAGGTGTGGGTCAGAGAGGAAGATATACACAAAACAGCTTTTAGAACTCAAGGACATTATGAGTTCTTAGTGATGTTGTTTGGTCTCACTAATGCCCCCTCAACCTTCCAGGCCTTGATGAATGAGATATTTCAAGACCTATTAAGGCGGACAGTGCTGGTTTTTTTAGATGACATCCTTGTTTACAGTAAAAGTGTAGAGGAGCATGGGAATCACCTTCAAGAAGTACTTAACCGCCTGTGATGCCACCGGTTGTATGCCAAGAGAAGCAAGTGCAGATTTGGGGTAGCACAGGTGGACTATCTAGGACATGTGATAAGACAGCAAGTGGTAGCCGTTGACCCCGCTAAGGTGAGCTGCGTCCAGGACTGACCTACCCCATGAACCATATCAAAACTAAGAGGATTATGGGCTTAACTGGGTATTACCATAAATTCATACAGAATTACGGTAAACTGGCCAAACCACTTGGGAGCCTGGGGGTGGAATTCAGAAGCGGATCAAGCATTTCAAGAACTGAAATTGTTGATCACTTCAGCCCCGGTGTTGGCTCTCCCAGATTTCACGAGACCCTTCACCTTGGAGTGTGATGCCAACGGAAATGGGATAGGGGCAGTTCTGTCACAAGAAGGGAGACCCATTGCTTATTTCAACAAGAGTCTCAGTGCTCGGAATTTGGGGGGGGCAATATATGACAAAGAGGTGATTACGGTGGTTTCGACCATACAGAAGTGAAGGCAGTATTTGTTAGGACAGAAGTTTGTGGTCCAAACAGACCACTAAAGCCTGAGGCACCTGATGAATCAGAAGATAAACACCCCCTTCCAACAGAAACTGCTGAAATGAATTATGGGGTTGGATTTTGAAATACATTACCAGAAAGGGAGAGAAAACTCAGCCGCGGATGCTCTATCCCGGTTCTCTTCAGAATTGAGCTCAGTATCCGGACCAGTTCTAGATTGGTTTGATATGCTCCAAGCAGAGCACCAAGAAGATCCCCAGTTAGTGGAATGGGTCAGGAAGATTCAGCAGGAAGGGGAGAAAAATAAATACAAGCCAAGGATGGACTAATATGGTGACAGGGAAGATTAGTGATTGGGGAACAATCCCCATTGAGAAGACAGTTATTTGAAGAACTCCACTCTTCCCCTGTTGGAGGACATGAAGGCTATCACAAAACCATGAGGCGTACCCAACAGGTCTATTATTGGAAGGGGTACAAAAAACAGGTAAAAGAATGGATTAGGCAGTGCCAGGTATGCCAGAGAAACAAGGGAGAGAACTTGCCGATTCCAGGGCTGTTGCAACCGTTACCAATGCCAGTGAGGAATTGGATAGAAATCTCCATGAACTTTATGGAAGGGTTGCCTCCATCCAAACGAAAGATGGTCATCATTGTGGTGGTGGACCACCTATCCAAGTATAGTCATTTCATTACTTTGCATCACCCCTACACTGCACAAGAGGTGGCCCAAATTTTTCTCTGAAGTTTTTAAACTCCATGGGATGCCGACCATAATCGTCAGTGATAGGGACCCGTTGTTCACAGGGCTCTTTTGACAAGAACTGTTCCAGTTGCAAGGAATTAAACTCAGTTTGAGTTCCTCTTACCATCCACAGACGGATGGCCAGACTGAAATTGTCAACAAAATGATCGAGACTTACCTTAGGTGTTTCGCGGGTGAGCGGCCTCAACACTGGGCCCGTTGGTTGCCTTTGGCGGAATGGTGCTACAACACTTCACACCATTCCTCCACCAACACCACCCCCTATGAAGCAGTGTATGGACAGCCACCACCAACCCTCCTCACCTACGTGCCTGGCACTACCCGTGTCCAGGCGGTGGAAGAAGAGCTAAAACAGAGGGACCATGCTCTTCGTATTCTCAGGGAGAATCTAAGCCGAGCACAAAACAGGATGAAATGATACGCAGATTAAAAGAGATCTGAAAGAAGCTTCCAGGTAGGAGATTGGGTGTACCTCCGGCTACAACCGTATAGACAGATGTCAGTGACTATTCGGCACTCCCAGAAACTTGTTGCACGGTACAACGGACCATTCCAGATCCTGGCCCGAATCGAGGAGGTTGCATACAAACTCGCCTTGCTCGATAATTGTAAGATCCACCCAGTCGTGCATGTCAAGTTGTCAGGGACCCGATTCGGATCCAGACGACCCTACCGCCCACAGCATCCAACGGGTCTCTTCTTCCTTACCCGAAGAAAATATTGGATAGAAGGATGGTTCGGCGAGGTAACCAGGCTGCCACGGAAGTGCTAGTCCATTGGGAAGATTTACCGCAAGCGAACGCTTTGGGAGCTCTACGACCACCTCCGTCAACACTTCCCGAATGTCCGACTCGAGGACGAGTCAACGATCAAGGAGGGGGGAGTGTCGTGATCCCTACCTACGCCCCTCTGAAGCCGAATATTCTCTGCTATAGGTTGTTAGAAGGCAATCATGGTCTGTTATGATTGCCATCGTTAGGTTGTTACGGAGGTTGTTTCGAGTGCTGACGTGGCAAGGCTTGTATGAACAAAGGGAGACCGAATGGAATAATAAAGCGAGCTATTACCACTTAAATTTGTTTTTGTTTCCTTTTTTTTTTTATCATTTTCTTCCTCTAAAGTTTCCCCTTCGAGCGGTGTGGCTACCATAGCTCGGGGTAACCCTAGCCTGTCTTCTCGGCAACGAGAAGAGATCCGTGACAAAATCGCAATTGATTTGAGTGTAAATGAAACCATTTAGTTGGAGGTGGGAAAGGGAAAGAGGGCTCCTTCTGAGGTGGCAACTTAGAGAAAACTGAAAATGGCATAAGGAGGAGAGGTTAAAAATGTTGGGTTGGGTAAACTGTAAAGAGAGAAAGGAGAGGGAGGCCATATAAGGTAACCAGTTTTGTTTTAATATACAAATAATAAATTCCCCTTACAACTTTTCACAATTTAGCTCGTTTTCTACTTTACCGAAGATTTCTCTCCATTTTTTAACTCTAACCTGGCTCTATCTTTATTCCATCCTTCCTTGACAATGTTGTTAAAATCTTAATGAGTCAATTCTTCAAATTTGAAGAATCCCTCCTTTTTATGCATAATAACAGGATTTGGCTATAATATGAGCCAGAAGCCACATTTTATGAAATGAGAATATCATGGTTAAGTTACCTAAACACAATAGACTCGTTATCCTATTTATAATGTTACACCATTCTTCAATCGAAAATTCTTGAATTTTGATAAATAACCCCTGATTGGCTACCACATTCATGATAATGATACTGGATATCATGATAATGATACCAGATATCATATCAACTGGTATCATGATATCATATCTTTTCTATATCATATTCAAAATTAATCATGTTAAAGATATTATATAATTTATTTATTTATCAATGGTGCTAAAGATGTCATGTATGAGAATTCACTTAATCATTGGTCATTGCACATTGTCCCAACTGAAGCAGGGTAACAGGGCTATGGTTTTTGGATGGCATAAGACTGACTTTCGAATTCCCTTATTATCAGTTTCCCTTCTTCATCAAGTCAGATTACCAGTTATACCAATAAAATAAAGGGATAAGTGGACTGCAATCCATCTCAGAAATCTGAATTGCAACCCCCTCTTAGTCTATCAGTTATACCAATAAAATAAATGGAAAAGTACGGACAGGCCTAATGCAGATTTCTAATTTCCATTGCAAATCTATAAACATTCAAAAAGTCAAAAAATTACACTTCATGCACTCATACCCCTCAATTGGCATCAATTCTGAACTAGCACCTACTCCAACTATACTTTGTACCTATTAATTATGACCCTTCACTAAACTGTCATTCTCCCTAAAATAAACGGATTGGATATTATTATTTCTGTACTGGACTCATAGTGGACCAGATTGATTTGGAACAAATATCAAGACTGTAGTACTACAAACTCCCATCATATCTAATAGTTTATTCAATACTTCCAATAAAATAAATGGAGAAGTACACTGCAGATTTCTGAAATTATAACCCCCCATAGTCTACTAATAGCCCCCCCCCCCCCAAACCGCATCATGCTGATGGATTTGGCATCAATCCACGGTCAGAATTCATCCAACCTGTACGGCGAGACTAAGATTTATGAGATGGGCTGAATAGTCATTCTCCCAATGGAAATATTCTCATAGGATTTTTACGATAAAGTCAGGGTTAAAAAATTTGATACGCCAGTATGAGTGTATCGAGCGAATCGATAGTGTTTCAAGCATTTTTTTTTTATTTTTTTTGCAACCAGTTCAGAGGGGGCAGTTTAGGTCTCCTCTACCCCCTGAACCGGTCAGACCTCCAATACACCCACTGTAGGGGCATATCGGAGGAGTCCCAGAACGATACGTATCGGCCGATACGGGTTGATACATGTCGATACTTTGAACCTTGGATAAAGTTCAAAACATCAAACGTAGTGATATATCGGACACGATTTTGAACCAACCGAAACACTGTTTACAGGGAGTTAGGGGTGTCTGTTTAAATATAAGAAGCCCTCTAAGTCCTAATATGCTTAACCCTGAAATATCAGTCCGTAAAAAATAATAAAAAATAAAAATAAAAAATAAAAACATTTTTAACCACGTATAATGCCAATCTTACATGATACCCCTTTTAAATTCCAGTCAATTTCTCAAAGGGTTGTTAATTCCATCCTCATTGAATTTTTCTCTGCATACTTTGTATGATCGCTTCATATACATAGCAAACTGTGCTACATTTCTTGTTAAGTCTGTAAACACAGAATAACATTAACTCAGAGAAAGCCTTGTCTCAACTTTATGAGGTCAGCAACATGAACCCTGTTCCGCTCTGTTCAGTACCATATGCATTATTAAATTATGGACCCTCAAATCATATCTTATTACTTTCAACCCAAAATTCAGAATGCAATCTTAAGTCCATTTCTTCTAAGTTGACAAGAATGCCATTGAACATGGGGAAACTGGTTACATCATGACCATGCCTCAACATGGTAATTACCAGCCCTCTCCAGTGCCCCTAGCCACCTCACAGCAGTTTCCCTTGTCACTCCACCTTCTTTTGCTATAATGTCTTCTAGGCATGACAAAACATCCGCAGGCATTTTGGTTGAAGAACCTGCAACATACACAGCAGCACCTGTACTCAATAAGTTCCAAAGTCTTTGGCTTTCTTCTTGCATCTTATGCTGCACGTAGACCTTATGTGGCTGGTCTCTTGAAAAGGCAACATAGAAACCTCCACCCTTGTCTTCAGAGAGTACCCCACATCCTTGTGCATGAGACAACCAAAAATCTCTGTATAGGAAATCATTCTCCTCATTTCTGCAACCAAAGAAGAACATAACCGGACCGATAGACGAAGATTGATTTTGCACTGCTCTTTCCTCTACAAATGCTCGAAAAGGTGCACAACCAGTTCCTGGGCCAATGAGAATGAGGGGGAGCGATGGTGGTGGGGAAGGAAGTGAACTTTTATGGAACCATACTGGAATGCAAACTCCTGCTCATAACAAAATAACCAAGAACATCAGCATAGAAGATGTATAGGGATTTACTGTTTGCATTGAGAATATCACAAGTTCTATTAGTATGCTTGTATGCATCCATACTTTCTTGAGGATCAAGTCCAGCCAACCATGTTGAGCAGAGACCCATTCGCTTTCTCTTGAACGGTGTCACCCATGATACCACACTCACAGTCAGATGTACTTGACCTGGATGAGCTGAAAGAGAAGAAGAGATGGAGAATGCTCTGGTTTTTAATGGAGGAACCAGCTGCACTAGCCATTCGAATGGCAGTTGCACAGATGGAAAGTCCTCTAGCACCTGCAACACTGACAATCAGTTCCTGAATGAAGCAAGTTCAATCTACTGAACAAGTAAAAGCAAAAGGAAAGTTAGGAGGTTATTTAGTATTTAAAAATAGCTTTTTATATATAAAATGTTATACATTGAAAGTCTGAAAATGAAAGCCTAGCCATCCCCTCTTAACATTTCAAGTTTTAGCTTGATTTACTTGTTCCTAAATTGCTATACTTGGTACTAAAGTAGACCAGATTATAAAGAATCAAATGCATGGCTGGACGTCTAAGTCTGAAATCAAAAGATGAACCAAGCAGAAAATGTATATTCATTTAGAACATGGATGAAGGAAAGAAGCTAGTTTACCTCCAGGACAGTTCTGCGTTCCTTCTGATTGTACTGATATAAATCATCTCTCCCTTCAGGTGAGGCAAAATATTGAAGCCTTTCCTTCTCATGCTGTGCAGTTGCAAAGAAACTCATGACCTGGAGACACCGTATCAGTATACTTGATCACTAAATGAAATGCACAACCATTTTCTGGCCTTCAGTAAAAGCAGAACAGTTGGAATAATTTAATAGAAATTAGGAAAAACCATATTAGCAATAAAGCCTGCAATCCCGTTAATTCCTTCAATTAAACAACAAGAAATTGTAGAGTCATATAGGATAAGTACAATTCATTTAAAGGAAAAAAATAACTTCCAAGAAAAATACATACTAGAAGTTGCATCACTACCTATACATGGATGCATGTCTATGTTGGCATGAATATGCGTTATCTGGTAAGCAATAATAAATTAGCCAGCCATAGTTCATGCACAATGTGCACAGGAACTTTTATAATCCAGTTCCATAGATTTTTCTTTTTTTTTCTGATAGTTATAGTTCCATAGATTTTGTTTTTTTTTTTTGATAGGTTATAGTTCCATAGATTTTATATAAGCTCATTTTTCCTTTACCAGATAAGTTGAATCATTTGTGTGCTCTCCTGCTGGTTCAAAACAAAAAAGAAAGCCTTTTTATTGATAACTATAACTTTTAATGATGTAGTGTAAATACATACAGAAGTATTATAACAAACAGTGCAAATTTCAAACCCCTGGACTGCATATTGCAGCCCCCGCCCCCCAAATACACCCTCGATTCTCTATTCCGGAAGTGTTGTATCCAAGAACATCACTTCCCTTAGAGCCCAACCTTTCCAAAGAATCTGCTTGATCATTTACTGATCTTCTAATCCATCACTAATCTAGCTTATATTTAGGTATGGCAGTATTTCCATTGTTATCAGTAATCTAGCTTCTCTTTAGGTATGTCAGTATTTCCATTGACCTGCATTATTTCCTTGCAGCCAGCCTACAACCACTTCTGAATCTCCTTCAATTTCCAACCTATCACAGCCAAGAAAGCCATTTTTCCAATTGTATTGTAAGCTCATAACTAGTGCCACCATGAAACCTTAAAACTAAAGGATCAAGCTGCAAAGTGTGAACACTTAAATATTTTTTATGAATGATAATAAATTCATTAATTCAGAAGCAGATTTAGAGTGAGTTCATACAACATCCCAAGGAGAGGAGCGAGCTGCAGCCCCTCCTTGAATCTTACAAGTAAACCAGGAAAGAAAAGCAAGAATCACAACTGAGCCCAAAACAATTCCTCCCTATTTACCCCTTGCTTATCTAACACATTTGACAAAGTATTTGCTGATCTCCCCACCCACTGTACAGTGACCAACATATTCCTTGTCCACCAACTAAATTTCTTCATTTCATTCTTGTAACGCCACATAGCCTCTTCAGGATTTTTCAACCAACCCACCACCACTTTGGAATCCCCCTCGATTGTTAGGTGTTGTACCCCCAGCTGGTTTGCAAATTGCACCCCTTGCACAGCAGCTAAAAGTTCTGCTCTGATGGAGCCCCCAATTCCCAAGGGACCTGAGTAGAGCAACAAAATCTCTCCCTTCTCATTTCTCAAAGCACCCCCCATTCCGGATAATCCTGGATTACCATGCTATTTCCATCAAAATTCAACTTCAGTGAGCCTTCGGATGGAGGAGACCAGCTTGTAATTGATGTGTCCTTTAGGGATGAACACCTCGCTACTGCTGACCAATTCTCCAAAGGTCATTAAAGAAGAATTGATGAAAGATTTCCAAGGTCTTCAGCCAAGGTATTGCCCTATTTAACACACAGTCTTTCAATTC